CTGCATCTGATTCGGTATTGTTGGTCAATGGTCTTTTAGTCACTTCCCACACTCGGGACTTTGCTCTGTTCTTGCAGAAAAAGGCCGCTGTATTCAGAGCACTCTTTGCAAAGAGCAGTCTGGATGGGGTGGCTACACTGGGCAGAAGGACTGCTTACAAACAACACATTTCTTTTTAAATAGAGTGGGTTTCAGTAAATTTACACTTCTGGGGTAGTTTTCCAAATATATCTGTAAGAAATGGCTTCTCGAAATGATTCTCTTCCCAAGAAGTGCAAGTGACTCGCTTTGAATTATTATTTTCTTAATTTTCCCTCTTTTCTTGCAACGCTCTGAGTTTTGCTATGAAACTCAAAGTCATCCCAAAATACGCAGAGATTTCATAGCAGTGGCTTCACAGAGATGATGGCTCTGTCCTGGGACCCCCACTTCCCAAATCCAGACCTAACCTCTGTTCCAGGCCCACGCACACCCACATTCTCCCAAACACACGCTCTGTTCTCACAGCCACCCAACTCGAGGCGATCGAATGCTGTTTTTCAGAGCCTGCGCATCTTCCCACTAACACAGGAGAGATATATGGGACAAATCTTTCCATAAAGCTCTTTCAAGACAACCTGGAAACTGGAGCACTTTTGATCAGAGGCAGCTCAAGGCAGACGAACGTCATCCCGATAAAGCTTTCTAAATTTCGGTCTCATCAGGAAGGCTGGCTCAGGTTTGGCCAGTGTTTGAATAGAAAATCTACAAGAGCAGATGTGCTGCGAGTAACTCGGCTACCGCAGTGCCTTCCACTGAGCTGGGCCACATAGCATTACAGAATTGTATAGCATGAAAGGTGGGTTCTTTTGAGTGAGGCAGAGAAAGCATAGAATAGTAGAACGGCTTCAGTTGGAAGGGACTGTAAAGATCATCTGCTCCCATCAGATCAGCTTGCCCAGGGCCTTGTCCAACTTGGCCTTGAATGCCTCCGAGGATGGGACACTGACAGCCTCTTACAGCCTGACTACAGCTTTGTAATATTCGGTCATTCTCTGTTTGAATTTCTGCAGCCACAATGAAATTTTATTATGAGTTTCCCCCGATTCCAAAAATAAAAGGATCTAAAGCATCTGTGCACACACAAAGTATTTTACAGCTACTCATCATTAGTCATCAGACCTTTGTCCCCTGCAGCACTTTATTTACTATATTACACCCTTTATTAAGCATTTTCTCTAAAGAACTTTGGTCACTACGTTCACATCTAAAGAAAGGAAAAATAGGGGTAAACCAGAACTCTAGCAATCTCCAAGCTTGTGCCTGTATGTGCTGTAATATGTGGATCATAGAATCATAGAATCATAGAATCACAGAATGGCTTGGGTTGGAAGGGACCTCAAGGATCATCAAGCTCCAGTCCCCCCCTCACAGGCAAGGCCACCAAGCTCCAGATCTAATACTAGAACAGGCTGCTCAGGGCCCCATCCAACTGGCCTTGAATATTTTCAGGGATGGGGCATCCAATGAGCCCAACATGCCCATGGCAGGATTTCCCTAATGATGTTTGGAAGGAAGATCACATGGCAGCTGTTGAGCGCAGAGCTCACACACCTCCCATACAGCCATGGTGGTGGTGGTGTGCAATGGTCCCGGTGATGGATGGATGAATATTCTTTTCCCTTCTCCTGCTCTTTGTAATGCAAGGAGGGTATTAGGGTGGGCAGCAAGGACACGCTGTTGGACTGGCGTGATCCAGGTCTAATGAGGGCAGCTGGAAGGTCTAATGAGAGAAGGGAGGATTTGGGAGCATGGGCAAAGGCGGGGGGGAAAGTCAGGTTGGGTGAGGAATAGAAAAACTGGTGATGCTGGGTTGGGAGCTAATTGGGAATAGCTGGTGTCAGGCCCTTGGGAAGAGAGTTATTCTGGAGTTCAGTTCCTTGGTGGAGGAAAAATGCATTTACAAGGTGCTGCTGGGGCTGTGGCTTCACGTGGTTTTTGACCCCAGGTATTGCTGTGACTTGACCCATTGGAGCTGCAGAGATAAAGAGGCGGAGGGACGGCACCTCTGCTGTTTACACTCCCAAGACACCCAGCCCAGCCCTGACTCAGCCCTCAGCAATGATGGTCTGATCCTATTAATATCAGTGGAAGTCTTCTTAACGAGGACATAATTTCATCCCAGAGGCCAATGTGTTAACGAGCGTCTCTGGCTATCCTGTCATTGGGCATGTGAAGAGGGTAGCAACTTGACTCAGACACTGTGCAAATATGTGCACAGTAAATACGCATTTAATTTAAATATAGTGACAACGTACAGGGTCATAAAAGTTTGGCAGCAAGAGTGAAAAAGGGACGAATGCAGTTTATAACTCAGCGCTGGTGGTACATTGCCCATTGCAGCCTTGTCTGCAATCAACATCCAAGGAAACGCTTGCTTACCAATTAGCTGCTGCTTTCAAGTTGTGTGACAGCCCCCTAAGTGTTATCCTGATGACATTTTTTTTTGCTGTGATACAAGAGACTCCTCCGTCTCTCAATAAATCCTCTTGCTATGCATGGTTTGCAAAAACACCATTGTCTTGCTGAGCCTGCTGCCAGGAAAGGGCGTTTTAATCATTCTACTATGTCTATTACAAAGTATTTCTGCTTTCCAGAATAAAAATAGCCTTGCTTGCCTTCTGAGATAACCAAACCCCTCCCCTTCCAACCCGTATTTGCGTGTTGGAAAGTTGCTTGACACACACGCACACAAAAAAAAAGACTTCGTGAACATTCTTCACATGTTAAAATTGGACAGATTAAACTTAATTTAACAATAATGATCTCCCACAGTTAATGTTTTATTCCAGATAGCAACAGGGCACAGTGTGATCCCTAACAAGGTCAGGAAAGGATTTCTTCTGTTGTGCAACGCTCACGGATGTTAGTCTTCTCTGAAGCATTTGAGATTGGCCATTGGCAGCTGATGAATGCTGCAGGAGCTGACAGATCAGCGTGCCATGTTGTGATAACACTTTCACCCTGCTCTCATGTGCCGGATGATCCCGTACAGCTGAGCTGATCCTCCTAAAGCCTTCATTTAAGAGCTGAAGTTTGCTTGGTAACACCAACCAACCGACCAACTCACTCCAGCACAGATCTGATTCGTCAGTTACTGAGTGGATTCTTTTTTGCTCTTCATTTATCAATTTTAAGGAACAAGTTGCTATAGGAAAAGGGTAGGGAGAGATACAAGGAGAAATGGCATCTTGTGTTGTGCTAACAATTTCAGGTTGAAAAAATGCCCAAGCCATGTAGCACAAAAGCTCTTCTCCAAGTTTGATGCAGAGAAATTCATCTTGAGGATGCGAACAGATTGCCTAAGTTTATTCTCATTGCATCAATCAATGTTTTTACTTTCATCTCTCGTGTTTGGTAAGAAAGAGGCAAGCAGGTGTTCTGAAAGTAAAAGTATTGTTCTCTCCAATAAATACAGGTGGGCAGATCTGGGCAGAGGATGGGGATTTTATTTGACAGCAGATGCTGACCCTTGGCCACAGCAGTTAATATCTCCGTCCCAGAGAAATTTGCACCGGTGGGAGCTCTTTGACTCTTTGACTTAAGCTGGCTGGATCACAAGGTGGGTGCATCTTGGAGCCAGGCTGGCTTGTGCTGGCAATTCCCTAGGCAGTGGCAGGGCAGTGGCTGGTCCCTGAACCCCCCCAGGGAATGCTGGCAGTTGTCTGCAACCCAGGAAAATACATGTATATAGAAATATCCCCTCTTCATGGTCCAGAGCGTTTTGGCAGTCTATTTCTCATGTGACCTTTTTTTCCTCCCTTGTCTATCAAGTAAACCCCAGCACAGCCTTTTTGAAAGAAGCCAAGATTTTATCCACTTTCCTAGGCCCAAAGCAAAAAAGGCAAACAGAAATTTCATTAGAGAGTTGCTTGACTGTGAGGAAGACACATACGTTCCAGTCTTAAGATTGTTTTCTTTCCTATCTGCTCAATACCTGTCTTTTCAGTATCCCTGGTAACTCACTTGGAAGTCACTGAAGCTCCCACTGAAGAGCCTCTCTCAGCTCAGTTAGCCGGCAGCTTGATTTGTAAATACAAACGAACCACTTAAAGGCAGTGAGTTGGCTATTTTGTCTACTTTGCTGTCTGTCTCTGCATTGCTGTGCCTAAATCCCGCTGGCCCTTTTTACGGGGAAAAATATGAGTAAAATTTCATTCAATCTCAGCTGCTGTCATCTTTCTGCAATCGAAACAAGGTTAATTAATTAAATTAATTACCCAAGTTATGAGACTGCTTCTAAGGAAAAAGTATTTTTGGCCCTGGAGGCAACCAGGGTCAGTCTGGATGGGGCTCTGAGCAGCTGATGGAGCTGTGGGTATCCCTGTTCACTGCAGGGGAATGGGGCCAGAGGGCCTTTAAGGGTCTCTTCCAACCCAAACCATTCTATGATCCCAGCACTGAGATGTCACTTGGGTGAAACCGAGGCACTATTTGATTCCACCACCTCCCTGGGCAGCCCATTCCAGTGCCTGACCACTCTTTCAGAGAAGTAGTATTTCCTAACATCCAGCCTAAATCTCCCCTGGTGCAGCTTGAAGCCATTCCCTCCAGTCCTATCACCAGTTACACAAGAGAAGAGGCTGACCCCCAGCTCACTATAAGCTCCCTCCGGGTAGTTACAGAGAGCAAACCCTGAGCCCATGGTCTGCCATTCACCCTGGTTGTGTGAGGAAATCCTGAGGCTCACCCACCATCACAGGCTGGAGAGTCCATAGCATGTGAAGGAAACTGCGTACAGTTTGGGGCCCCTCACTATAAGCAAGGCATTTGGAGTGTGTCCAGGGAAGAGCAGCAGAGATGTAAAGGATCTGGAGCACAGATCCTGTGAGGAGAGGCTGAGAGGATGGGATGGCTGAGCATGGAGGAGGATCAGGGGAGACCTCATGGCTGTGCACAACTGCCTGAAGGAGGCTGGGGTGAGGTGGGGTCAGCTTCTGCTCCCAGCTGACAGCGTTAGGATGAGTGGTGACAAGGGCAACAAAGCTGGTGAGGGGTCTGGAGCACAGGTCATATGAGGAGCAGCTGAAGGAGCAGGGATTGTTCAGTGTGGAGAAGAGGAGGCTCTGGAAGACCTTATTGCTCTCTATAACTACCTGAAGGGAGGTTATAGTGAGCTAGGGGTCGGCCTCTTCTCTTGTGTAACTGGTGATAGGACTGGACGGAATGGCTTCAAGCTGCGCCAGGGGAGATTTAGGCTGGAAATATTACTGCTCCAAAAGAGTGGTCAGGCACTGGAACGGGCTGCCCAGGGAGGTGGTGGAGTCACCGAGCCTGGAGGTGTTCAAGGAACGGTTGGATTTTGTGTTGAGGGACATGGTTTAGTGAGAGCTATTGGTGAGAGGTGGATGGTTGGATGACCTTGAAGGTCTTTTCCAACCTCGGTGTTTCTGTGATTCTTTCTCTGCGACAGCCTCAAGCTGTGCCAGGGGAGGGTCAGGTTGGATATTAGGAGGAATTCCTTCCCCAAAGGAGCGCTCAGGAAGCAGCAGACTGCACACCAACCTCCACATTTCATAGCAGACCAGGCTGCCCACGGCCCCATCCAACCTGGCCTTGAACACCTCCAGGGATGGATGGGGCACCACAGCCTCTCTGGGCAACTGTTCCAGCACCTCACCGCTCTCTCTCTCTCAAGAACTTCCCCCCTCACATCCAACCTCAATCTCCCCTCCCTCAACTTCAAACCATTTCCCCTCGTCCTGCAGTTATCAACCTTTTCCCAGAGTTGATTTCAAACTGAAAACACACCACCACCACCACTAAACCTAAAACTTTCTTTTGACATTTATTTCTTTTCTTCCCCCCTTCAACCTCGAGGGATCGGAAAAACGGCTCCCAATGACGGGACGCCCAACTCCCCCCCGCCCCTCAATCGCCTCAGTTGAGGTGAGAGGCGGGAACGGCGCCCGCCGCGCTGTGACGTCATCGCCCGCGGCCCGGCGGCGCCTCCCGGCTGCGCGCTCCCCCTCCCCCCGCCCCCCCCTTTCCCGTCCCCGCCACCTCCTCGCGGCCCCCCGTAGCGGCGGAACACCCCCCCCCCCCCCCCTTTCCCCCTCCCTCCGCACTCGCCGGCCACCGTCCCGGGGAGGAGGTGCCGCGGCGGCGGATGGTCCGCGTCGTCCCGCCGCCCCCCGGCCGCCCCTCCTCCCGCAGTCGGCGGCGGCGGCGGCGTCGGCGGCAGATGGCGCGGGAGCGCGGGGCGCGGCGGGGCCCGGGCTGGCGTGGAGGGAGGCCGAGACGTTTGCTTTTGGCTCTGCTCTTATTGCTGTTACCCGCCGTGCCGGGGCTCGGGCCCGCCGCCGCCGCTGCCGCCGAAGAAAAAGAAGAGGATGGGGGAACGGCGAAAGAATGCGACAAACCGTGCGCTAACGGCGGGCGGTGCCAACCGGGCAGCGGGCAGTGCGAGTGTCAGCCCGGTTGGGTGGGCGATCAGTGCCAGCATTGCGGCGGACGCTTCAGGTGAGGTCGGGGAAGGGGTTGAGGGGGGGTGCTGGGGTGCGAGGAGGCCGTTCGAGGGCTCACAGAGGAGTGACGGGGTGTGAGGGGGGGAGGAGGGGGGGGTAGGGCACGAAGAGCCCATGTGGGGGCTCACCGGGAGGTGTTGTGGTGTGAGGAGCAAATATTGGAGCTGGGGAGGGGAGGGGAGGCTGTCTGGGGGCTCAGGAGGAGGTCTGAGGGCTGGGTGTGGGTCTTGCAAGGCGCAGTGAGCAGGTTGGTGTGTTTGCAAGGAGCTGGGAGCATATTTAGAGGCTTCCAGAGTGGTGTGAGAAGTGGGTTTGGGGGCTCCCTTTCCCAAGAAGCAGGTGTGGTAGTCGTAGGGATCAGAACTGGGGGGTTTGTAGAAGGGTGATAGGGTGTAAGGGCTGGGATAAAACCCAGCTTTCAAGTTGCAAGGAGCCGATCTATGGGCTCACAATGGGGTGGCAGGGGTGTGAGGAGCCCATCTGGAGGTTCACAGAGGTGGTGAATCTCTGAGGTTGGTTGTGGAATGTATGAGGGTAATGGGGAAGAGAGACAGACCCCAGCCAGGGTGTTAGATGTAGGGTTGGTAGTGCTGTTAGAGTGGGGATATTGGAGGCTTGGGTGTTCCCAGCTGGGTCTGGGAGCAGTGGGAAGTGGGTGCAGGGCTATGGGGAGGAGAAAAGTGGGAGATGATAGCAGTGGATCGGGAGCGACTGGGTTTGCTTTGTGTAGGGGCTGGAGAGAGAGTGAGGTTGGGCTGATTGATGGGAGAAACGTGGTGGGGGGATTGGGGTTGTATGGGAGTTGGGTGGAGTAGGGGCAGGAGTAGGGGCAGGATCCAGCTAGCAGCAGGTTGCAGTGGGGCAGGAAGGTGTAAGGCCGAGGGGGGGGGGTGACATGGGGAGATGTAGCTTTTAGGGTAGGTAAGAGCAGTGTTGGCTGTTGGGGAGGGACAGGGGAGTGATGGATTGGTTCACTTGGGGATGAGGCCAGAGCTGAACCAACAGCACTGGGGCTGGTGTGCAGGGTTTGCCTCTGGGCTGGAGCATTTTTGGGGGGGGATGTAAGGCTAAAAAGTGGTTCTGGGCAAAGCAGCCCTGTGTGCTTTCAGACAGCATGCATGTATGGTGCTGAGGAGTGCCTGTGGGGTGATCTCTGGGTTGTACTGTGCTGGTACAGCAGTGTTGAGACCGTTTATGGTGGTGATGGGATGCTGAATCGGGCTGTGTCTGTCCCACTGTGTGCCAGATTGGAAATCCATGCAGAAATAGGTTGGGAGTGCACCCTGGCTTCACTTACTGTTTGCAGCAGAAGCGTTTGTGTGATGGTTACCTGCTCTGCTTTTATCAGTGTGTGTCTGCATGTGTTAGGTGAATTCTCAGCAGGGTTGATTCTTGGGGAAGAAGGAAATGAAAATGTTATCCTGGGCAGCGCTGCCTTCTGGGGGAGCTCCTATGGAAAGCACCATCCGATCTCTGGTGATGCTTAATGTAAATCTGGGGAAAGAACAGCTGCATGCACAAGGAAAAACACTTTGTGTGCTTGAGAAGTCGAGGTTCATAAAGATACCTATAATTATTACTTTTTTTTTTTTTCTAATTTATATTTTTATTTACATGGGATGGATGTGCGATGCAGATGATCATAAAGGGATTTTCCAAGGAAACTCTGGAAGCTGAAAGCTTCCTTTTGAATGTTTATAGCCAGCATCATGATAAGTATTTCCCTCTCATCTAGAGAGCTTTTTGAGATAGCTACTTATGCCTTAGCTTCCTCAAGTACTTGAGGATATTTGTAAGTTGAAGGGGACCAAATCTGAATAGAGGCAGAGCGACGGTGAAGTGCTGCTGGGTAACAAAAGAGCTGGTAGACGTGAGCTGCAGGCTGCTTTTGTCTGTTTTGATGAAGCTTCTTGTTGTTTCTTCACACACGCTCCAGTGTAAAACTTCCACTGAAAATATCAGCCTGTGTTCTTCTCTCCATCTGCTTCGTTTACCTGTTTGCATGTTGGTTTGTGAAACGAAGTTCCTTGTCATGTTTTTAGACTTTGAGCCTTGAGAAAAGTGCCAGCGAAGGTTTCTCAGCAGTGCTCAGAGCTTTGCAGCCATTGCTCATGTGCATTGAGCTTACCCTTTCCTCTGTCAGAAATGGCATTGCAGCTTTTCTTTCATTTTTAATTACTTTTTGTGGTTGCCAAGAGCTTGGCTTTAAAAGATTTGCAGGTAGGAATAGGAAGTACGAGGGCAGGTGAAAATTACTTTGTAAGCGTGGCATATTCCACATGCTTATCTGCATGACTGTGAATTGTAATTAAATTCGGCATGTTAATCACTTTGTTCTTTATCTAGATGTTTGTGATGACTGTATCTGGGGTCTTGGCTGGCTTATGTTGTGTGCCAGAGCTGTCATGACACATAGCCTGTGCTTCACCCTCACTTCTTCCTATGTTAGCAGCTGCAACCTTGTGGCTTCGTGCTGCAGCCCATGAACACTCTCTCTACACACTGAGAACAAGTCTTAATAGTTACAGCGTGGTTAGAAATAAGGTTAGCAATCCAAGGGTGGACTGTTTTCTTTCTTCCTCAAACCCTGCACAGGGGAGATCGCTTGCAATGCAGTGCTGGGGATGTGTTTCTGTTCTTTCTGAGGATATGCAGTGTGCTGTGACTTCTGGAAGATGATGTGGGAGAAGCTCACCTGCATGTGGTTGTGTTGGTGGTAGTTTGTAGCTGGAGGAGGCTCAGGGGAGACCTCATCACTCTCTGTTGAGGTTAGAATGAGGTGGGGGTCGGCTTCTTCTCTCTGGTAAGAGTGATAGAATGAGAGGGGATGGCCTTAGTTGTGCCAGGAGAGGGTCAGGTTGGATCTTAGGAAACATTTCTTCTCTAAAAGAGTGGACGGGCATTGGCACAGCTGCCCAGGGAGGTGGTGGGGTCACCATCCAGAACTGTGAGGATGTGTGGCACTGAGGGATGTGGTCAATGGGCATGGTGGGATGGGTTGGGATTGGGCTTGATGAGCTTAGAGGTCATTTCCAACCTGAGCAATTCTATGATTCATGGTGCACTTGGGTGTGTGTAAGAATGAGGTTGGAATTAGATGTCCCTCTTCAGGATGAGGAAGCAGTCACCTCAGTTTGTCAAAGGCAGAGCCCCAAAGGTTTCACATAAAACTTTGTGAAGTTTTCTTGTTCAAGAGGTAAAAGCCAGGCTCTGTGATGCTGTTGTAAATGGCTTTATTGGCTAGAGGTTGTATTCAGGGTTCTTGCCTTCTGAAAAGGTAACTGTGCCAATTGTGTCTGTAGAATCAGAGTCTGGGAGTCAGAGTTTGGACAAGACATCTAAAATTCCCAACCCATCCCCACCATGGCCATAACCACGTCCTTCAGTGCCAGGTCTCCATGGTTCCTGTACACCTCCAGGGCCAAAGACTCCATTGCTGAGCAATCTGATGTATGGTTCTAGTTGGAAATGTGAACAGTTTGTATTTTGAGTTCAGAATCAGATAGCAAATGCTTCCAGAAAACTGAGTTTTGTGTGCAAGGGGATTCTTCTCCTTCCCTGGTAAAACTTGTTTGATTTTTGGGGTGGGAGATGGAAAATGCAAAGCAATGCTTAGCAATGGAACAGAACAAGGGAAGGAAAATATCAGAGATGAACGTATCTTTTAAATGGCCTTTTTATTAATTTAATGGAGGCAGTTACGGGCTGCTGATTGAACGTTATGAAGGAGTCTGCGGTAAGGCAGTTTCCTTGGCCAAAGAATATTACAGAGAAGAGGGATTTTATCTGCAGAAGATTTGGGGTAAATCATCACCTGAGAGAGTTGCAGGCTGGCAGAGAACTGTCACAGTTCACTTGTTCAATAAATGGGAACGTTGGTCGAAAGCTGGTACGCAGAACTGCTTTCTTTACAAAGCTACCTGATGCAGTTCGGAGCCTTAGGAAAGTCAGAAAGCAGCTTAATAAATTAGAGGATGTTGGCAATTTGAATCAAATCATTTTAAGTGCTGAAATTAGATTTGGGTGCTGCATTTGTTCCTGATCCCAATTCCATTCTCTCTTATCATTGTGCTTGAAAATGATTTTCTCTTTCACGTTGCTGAGATTTTACTACGGTTGGTCAGAGAACAAAGACTCCTATGTGAAATAATGCTGTATTTTTGACAAAATATCTAAGTGCATTTATACTCTGCTGAATGGCCATTGTTGTGCAATGATGCACAGGTTTTCTTTTGCCTCTTGTGAGGCCCCATCTGGAGTACTGCATCCAGGCCTGGAGCCCCCACTACAAGCAAGATGCAGATCACTTGAAACAAATCCAGAGGAGGGCCACTCAGATGATCAGAGGGCTGGAGCACCTCTCCTATTGAGAAAGGTTGAGGGAACTGGGCTTGTTCAGCTTGGAGAAGAGAAGGTTCTGGGGAGACCTCATTGCAGCCTTCCACTACTTGAAGGGAGCGTATAAACAGGAGGGGTAATGGCTGTTCATGAGGGTGGATAGTGATAGGACAAGGGGGAATGGTTTTAAACTGAGACAGGGGAGGTTTGGGTTGGATATTAGGAGGGAGCTTTTTCACTCAGAGGGTGGTGAGGCACTGGAACAGGTTGCCCAAGGAGGCTGTGGATGCCCCATCCCTGCAGGCATTCAAGGCCAGGCTGGATGTGGCTCTGGGCAGCCTGGTCTGCTGGTTGGTGACCCTGCACACAGCAGGGGGTTGGAACTGGATGATCATTGTGCTCCTTTGCAACCCAGGCCATTCTATGATTTAGATGTTTGCAGTATGCTCACTTCTGACTGAAGTAACAAGGAAGTAACAGCAGAAAACACAGGCTGGAAGAAAGGCAATGCAGTGCACTCTGCGTCCACTGTCCTCTCTGCTTCGTGCACATCAGATGTTGTCACTGTGGAGCGCAGGTAGTTGGAACCATCAAGCAGCTCACAGCACAACCCAGGAGCAATGGGAGCAGTATCTGCTTGCCAACTGCTGAGCACTG